TCTTTGCTTGAGCCCCAACCGTGGTGACTTTTTTTTCAGTTCATTTCACAGGCGGTGTTAGCACCTCAGGCCCTGTGTGGTGTTTCCAGTGTCTTAAAACCCATCATCCCTCCCCCACCTCCTCTTCATCTGGCCTGTTCCTCTCCCTTAGAAACTCATCTTGTAGAATCTTCAATGACACTTGGTGGGGTGCTACCTCTGATACTCAAGTCAAGACTGCGTGCCCTTTCTAGATGTTTCTGTAGCACTCTGTATTGCCCAGAGCACATGCTTAATAAATATTTTTAAATGAGGTATTGCCTGAGCTAAGCCTGGAAGCTGAGTAACAGCCAGGAGAAGAATGTTGGGAAGGGCATCATTTGAACCAGAAGCAACAGCTTAAACTAAGGCAGGCAAATGTGAAACAGTATGGTGCCCACAGGAAACAACAGCCAATTCAGAACCAACGGGGCATCAAGGGGCAGGAGGTGAAGCTGGAACAGTCACGGGGGAGGGCAAAGGGGCCTGGATTAAGGAGGGTAGAGCCAAACGCAGGAGACCACCTGGATCGGTAGTGATGGTGCAGGGGAACAGTGATGACAGTGGCCTCACCCAGCACTGGGAGCTAAGCATGCAGGAGACACATTCAAAATACATTCAGGTGTAAGTTCATCAGGATGTGGGGAGTAGATGGATGCAGGGGTTGGGGAGAGGAAAGAATCTGCTCAGTGTCCCCTGCATTCCTGATTTGCCTGGCCAGGTAAACAGTGGTGCCAACTATGGAGATGGGCATCCAAAGGCAGGCCCTGTGTGTGCGGGGGGTGGGAAGCAAAGGTCTTCAGTTTAGGATTTTGTGCAGCCTGTGGAACATTCAAAGGCACGTGTGCAGTGCACAAGCCTGGAGGTCAGGAGTCATGCCGAGGCTGGGGTCTCTGCACGCTGTGCTCAGGCTGAAAAGAACCAGAGGCATCATCTCAGAGTCCCCACTGAGCACTCACCTCCCTGTCGAGCCATATTCTCCCTCCTCCACCAGGCTGGTGTCAAGCCAGCCATGGGGCATCTCCCAGAGGCCTGAACCCAAGGACACGGAGCATCACTCCTCTGTTCCCTGCTTCCCTCCTACCTGTTCATTTCTCTGCAGGCCAAAGAGGGAGAGAAAGCGAGGACCCTGGCAGGTGATCATCTTGCCTTTCCCAGCGTTCCCTTTCCTGTTCTCTCCTCTGGGTTGAGGGGAAGTGCTTTTTCCTCCTCTTCCTCTCTCAGTCAGAACTTCTCTTAAATCTCATCCTGAGCTGTCTCCACCACAAGCTTACAGTAAAACTCTGATGAGGTCCTCAAGCCTGGCTGTTGATATTCTATGTGAGTTTTAGAAATTCAGAAAACGTTTTTTTTTTTTTTCTTTCATGAGAATGCTTGGCTTTCAAAACCATTGTCTTGCTGTGGACTAGAAATCCTATTCTGGGCGTGGAAAGCTGAATATTGACTCTGTATTTCAGTTGCAACAAACCCAAAGGTACCCTATGAAAACCACATGCCTCTGGCAGAATGGGGGGAGGTCACCACTGGGACATGCAAATGAGAATATGTATACACTCCTTATTACATTTGTGCGATAGGCAACACCCCGCTATCTCCACTAAACTCTAAAATCCTTAGGAACTTTAAACTCCTAATACCCATCATAACACATGGAGTGTAACAGGCCCTCAATAAATGCATATTATTAATATATGAATGAATTAATTGAAACTCACAGGTTTTGAGTAATCAGCTTGAAAATAACTAGCAAATAACTAATCTAGTCTGTTGGTCTACAAAGCCATGCCCTCGTCCTATACTTTACTACTATGTTTGGGACAATTCTTAAAGAATCAAGTCTTCGGTCTCTCAAATCACTTTTTGTCAGTATGGTAGAAGCTCGAAAGGCTCTCTGTGTCACTCAGGTGTGCTGGCCAACTGAATTCCACCATGGCCTTGACCGTGCTCCTTCAGCCCCGCCCAGTCCAGAGCTGTATTCCTGTTAAGTGAGCAGCAGTTTGGGACCAGTGGGGAGTCCCTGGGACCCCTTGCAGGCACGGAGGGTGTGCTTCCTCCTCGGTGTGGGATTGCAGGCTGAGCTGCTGCAGAGCACGTGGAAACACGCAGCACCCCTCATTTGACAAGAGGTTTGCCTCGAGCAGGACTTCAACGTCTGCCAAATTCTGAGTTTGGGGGACCTTAGGTTATCCTCAGATTTCAGTCCTACTCCCAGGAAATGGCCTGGGGTACTCTCTCCCTTGAGAAAAAACTGTCCGAAGTCTATTGGTTCTCCCAGGGGCGTTTGCATTTTAGTGGGTGTCAGAGCTGACTCGAGAAGGAAGAGCTGCTTTGTAAATGGACCGAAGGAGATGCTTGGGGGACAGAAGGCCAGTGGACAAGCCCCTGAAATCATTGTGCGTAGGCGTTCGGGTTGTGGACAGGCTGTACTGACTTCCATGATTATGCTCTGTCTCACCTCTGGGCCTTTGCACATGCTGCCTCCTCTTCCGGGACGTTTTCTCTGCTGTGATCCTGTCTCATCCCTGAGGGCTCCGAGCAGACGCAGCCTCCGAAGGCAGCCTGTGGTTATAATCTTCTGAGGTACTCCTCACGCTTCCTACCAATGTGTGTCCTCAGCTGATTGGTTTCTCTTTCTGTTCCTCTAACTTTGCTCCCGTCTGCAGGCTGGGGACCTTTTTACTGCTAAAAATCTGGAACAGCCTAGGAGGGGTTGGCGAGATGGGACATTACCCCCCCTG